TTTATACCATAAAATATGTCTTTGTAGTGTCGTAAGCCTTTTTAAATTCAATAAAGGCGCAATAGATTGATTTAGGAAGTGTTTTTCTCACATCTATCAAATAAGTAAGAGTAGATAATTGGTCTATTGTACTACAAAGTTGCCGTAAACCATTCTGTTCCTCAACCAGTACATTGTTATCATCTACCAACTGAGCTAATCTATAGTTAAGTATATTACAGTACAATTTGTAAGACACTGATGCAAGGGCGATCCCTCTATAACAAAGGGGGGTCTCTGGCGTCTGACATGTTAGATTTAGGAATAGGATTTATAATACATCAATACTTTTAATAGGATATCAACAGCATCCATTAGACTATACTTAACGACACTATCTAATTAAGTGGATTAACCATGTTAGCTATCAGTGATTTTGCAGATCCATTTAACCAAAAAGTTTTAATGAAGCAGAAATTTATATTTGGAATTTTGTTATCACTTGTGCTTAAATTTAGAACATAAATTAAGTTTTTCTAATGTTCAATTTCCATCCATTAAACTGTGTCAAATACAATTTAATTTTGATACAATAAATTTCCAAAATCGATTTAAAAATTATAAATTATGAAGTTTAAATATTATATATTCACAGTTCAAATGTTAATGCACTAAAATTGTTTCTTTTTCAATGACAATAAAATACCAAATGTATATCATTTCAGAACTACATTGACAGTTCCCTTTGAATGACAAAACCATATCCTGAAGACATAGGAACCACTGATTCCTCCATAGAAAAAACAAGAAACACCTCAATAAGAACTACCTCAGTAACTCCGAAACCCACTATGTTAAATGTTAGTGAAGATGATACCATGCAAGAAAATGTACTTCTGAAATGATAATTTGATATTTGCTTAGTCCACAACAAAACTTTTAAGATATACATTAAGGGTGCATGAACTAAATCATAAGTTAAAGACAATTTTGTTTGTGTTAATTTGAAATTGAATTTTCTTTGAATTTTTAATTTAATTATATTAAACAAAACTGCATATGCATTTTTGTTTTTATCGTACAAAAGCAATGATAGATATAACAGGAAAAAGTATTTCACCAAATTGGGTGTTCTGATTTGGTCACCCAAAAGATGATGCAAAAAGGAAAATACAGAATATTTACAGACTATTCTAATTTATTCATATGTAGATATGGTAACTTGTCAAATTTGAAGATAGTTTCTATTTTAAGATCTTAGTTAGAGCTGGCATTATTTACAACCAACAATTGATCTTTTGGCTATACAATTGAAGTTGCTGGCAAACCAAAACTATCTGATGTATATACATTTTGAACTTGAATTTTAAACAATCTAAATAGTCATATTGTTCCAATTACTTAATAAAAAAATTCAGGTAAATACGTAAATATCTAAATTTACAATCTACTTTCTTTAACATGAATATTGAAAGAGGTTTACAATACATTCTTAATTATGAATGTTATATCATTGTAGACATATTGAGGTCACTTGGCAAATTCTCATCTGATATTTTGAACATTAAAGAATTTATAAACTATAAATCTATAAACTATAATCTTATTTATTCTCTAAAGAATTAAACTGTCTCTTCATGATTCTCAATTTAACATCTTCTGCTGCCATGCTGCACCTTCTACTACTGAAACATCATATAAGTTGCATCTGTAAAAAAAACCAATCAATCAGAAATTAATGTGATGCATGTTTTATGTCAAATCCTAAATTGGAGATTAGTATATTTACAATTACTTTACATTCTTATTGAAAATATACCCCAGTACAGTAAATATTTGAATAAAAGAAATGTTAGACAAATTTGTAATACAATTTCCAACTTCAAGGGGAAAACTGATTTTTGTTGGTAGTTATCAAAGGTACCAGGCTTATAATTTGATACGCCAGACGTACTTTTCGTCTACATAAGACTCATCAGTGACGCTCAGATCAAAATAGTTAGAAAGCCAAACAAGTATAAAGTTGGAAGAGCATTGAAGACCCTAACACATATAAAAAGAGTTAAAAGTACAATTATAATGACCAAATACCTACATGATACGAATCTCTGTGTGCTATATACCATGAAAGCATCTTCATTGTCTAGGAGTGTAACATATTTAGTCTATCTGTAACAAAAACAAAAATTCTAAATCAGTATCAGCTTTAAATAGAGAATATTGGTTGTTCCAATTAATTTAAAATTAATATGATGCATTTTTTATGACAAATCATAATTTGAAGACAAGTATATAAACAATTTCTATACATTATCATTAAAATAATCTTCATACGAGTATAAATTTGAATAAAAGAAATTTTACACCACTTTGTAATCAAATCTAATTTAAGCTGTTGTTCCAGGGAAAACTGATTTTTGTTACCTGCACACCATATAAACATAGTTTAAAGTACAATTAAAAATACCAAATACCTACATGTTACGTATCCAGATGTGTGATCAATCTACCATGAAACCATCTTCATTGTCTAGAAGTGTAACATATTTAGGCTGTATCTGTAAAAAAAAACAAATCATCAATTAGTATCAGCTTCAAATAGAGACTATTGGCTGTTGCAATCAATTATAAAATGAATGTCACTCATATTTTATGTCAAATCCTAAATTGGACACAAGTATATTTACAATTAAAAACCAATAGTTCAAAGAACAATTGAAGGTCTTTCCACATCAATTTTCTAAATAATTGATAAGAAGCTACTTCTGGTTTACTCAAAGCTACTATTGGCGTCAAATCATAGGTTTCTTCATACTGATTCAATAAATATATGGTTTCTATAGACTTTTCCCTGAAATAAGGGAGATAATTGTCAACTTCTAGTTTAGAAAATGTAACTTCCGCTCTCATTCGATAGCTTTATTCACACTATTCCCAAAATATATAGTTTGTATATACTTATGCATGTAATAAGGGAGATAATATGCTACTTCCGTTTTATAAAATGTCACTTCCAGTCTCAAATGATAGGTTAATTTATGACCATTCAAAAAATATATGGTTTCTATGTATTTTTACATAAAATAAGTGCAAAAATGACTACTTCCGCTTCACTCAAGGTCACTTCCGGTTGATATTTTTCAAGGTCACATGTCACAACATTTTCTAAAAGACCTTATTGCTTTATCATGTACCAATCTGAAGTAATAATCAATTTACCTTAAAATTAAACATTTCAGGGGCAATAACTCCTATAAGATGTCACTGGATTGTTTCAGACAAAAAATTTATCATATCTTCATCACAATAAAACAAACATTTTGCACTAATTCTTTTATATATAACTTTAAAAATATCAGAGAAAATGCAAAAACAAGCAAAAGACAAAATTGAGAACATGACCTTGACCTCATTTTCTAAGTTAGGCCCCAAGGACCTCAAATAAAAAGACTATAGGTTTATACGGCTTACTGTTTATGAGTTACAAAAACATAACGACAAATTTAATTGATAAAGGTAGATAACTCCTATAAAATTTCACTGGATCGCTTCAATCCAAATCAGCCAAAAATTTCTGAGGATGTAACGAACAAATATAAAAAGAATTTTGTCGAATTTTGTCGTTATCTTTTTTGGTTACGGAGGAGATACACTCACAAGAAAAACAGTGTTTGGGGAGATAACTCTTACAATAAAAAAGTCTTCGCCTTAAAGAGATAAGTTTAAAAAGCGCAATAACTGTTTGATATCATATTCAAAATATCTAAGCAACATCTTCCGAAACAACCTTATACCGCAAGAAAAGGGTTTGGCGGAAGAAGAAAAAAAAAATAATAATCAGAACAAATACAATAGGTCTTTCTGTGACCTAATAACTACGCATTCATGTTAAAATTTACTTCACTAGATTATAAATTTGTACAAAAGAAATATGTAAACTAAATTGAAATAAAATTTTATTTAAGCTGTTGTTCCAGGGAAAACTGATATATAACACATATAAACAGTCTAAAGTACAATTGTAATGACTAAATACCTACATGTTAAACATTCTAATGTGCCATCTACCATGAAACCATCTTCAATGTGTGGGAGTGGAACATATCTGGGCTGTATCTGTTACAAAAGAAAAAAAATTAAATTAGCATCAGCTTTAGAGAATATTTAATGGCTGTTGAAAAAATTAAAAAATTAATGTGATTCATGTTTCATGTCAAATCTTAAATTACGGACAATTAATTTACAATTATTCTTTCATTTTTATTAAAATATACCACATTTGAAATTCGAATAAAAGATATTTTAGACCAATTTGTAATAAAATTTTAAGCTATTGTTTAAGTGAAAACACATTTTTATTGACTTCCAAATATTAACATAGTTTTAAGTACAACTGTAATGACTAAATACTTACATGTTGACTCTTCCTATCTGCCATGAATCCATCTTCTCTGTCTAGGAGTGCAACATATTTCGGCTGTATCTTTAACAAAAACTATAACTTAATATCAGCTTTAAATAGAAACTATTTGCTGTTGCAATTTTTTTCAGAATTTAATCTTTTGCATGTTGGACAAGAATATTTATAATTACAATACATTCCAATAAGAATATATTTCATTAGAGTATAAATTTAAAGAAAATTTTTTTGAGACCAATTTGTAATAAAGTTTCAAATTGGTTGATAATGAAATACAGCCAGACAAAAAACTAAATACATTTTACCATAAACACAAGATTTCATCATACTATGTAATCAGCTCTGCTTGGGGATCTGCTTTTACGAGATTAGCGCCCATTAAATTCATCAATGTGATATCAAAATCTAAAGTTTGCTCTCTGCAGAGGTCTTCTTTTACGAGACCCATTTTAACATAAAGCATCTTTTTGTCAAACTGTTCAGGAAGAAAAGGATTTTTATTACCGAACACTCAAAAACATAGTTTTAAGAAAAATTGTAATGACCAAAAACTACATGAGCAACATCCTAATGTGCTTTCTACAATGAAAGCATCTTTCATGTTATAGGAGTGTCACATATTTAGGCTGTATAATCTGTAACAAAAACAAAAATTATAAATTAGTTCCCACTTTAAACCCAGACTTTTTGTTGTTGCAATCAATTCAGAATATAATGTGATGCATGTTTTATGTTAAATCCCAAATTAGAGAAAAGTAAATTGTTGATGATTTGGTTTGTTACAGATACAGCCTAAATATGTTACAATTATAATTACAATTACTATACATTCTTATTAAAATATTCAGCATTAGAGTATAAATTTGAATGAAAGAAGTTTTAGACCAATTTGTTATAAAGTATTCAATCTGTTGTTTCAGGAAAAAACTGACTTTTATTACCTAACAAATATGAATATAGTTTTAAGGAAAATTGTAATGACCAAATACTTACATGTGACTTATCCTAATGTGCATCTGCGATGGAAGCATCTTTCATGGTATAGGAGTCTTACATATTTAGGCTGTATCTGTAATGAAAACAAAAAAATATACATTAATTTCAGCTTTTAATCCAGATTTTTTGCTGTTGCAATCAATTCAGAAATTAATGTGATGCATGTTTATGTCAAATCCTTAATTGGAGACAAGAATTTTTACAATCACCATACATTCTTATTAAAATATATCTCATTACAGTGAATATTTCAATAAATGAAATGTAGGACCAATTTGTAATAAAATTTCAAGCTGTTGTTCAAGGAAAAACTGATTTTTATTACCTAACAAATATAAACATAGTTTTAAGAACAATTGTTATGAATAAATTCCTACATGTGACTTATCCTAATGTGCTATCTGCAATGGAAGCATCTTTCATGGTATAGGAGTCTTACATATTTAGGCTGTATCTGTAAAAAAACAAATATTTTAAATTAGTTTCAGCTTCAAAATCAAAGCTATTTGCTTTTGCAATCAATTCAGAAATTAATGTGATGCAGGTTTTACGTCAAAGCCTAAATATTTATGGAGACGTATATTTACAATAACTATACATTCTTATTAAAATATACTTCATTAGGATATAAATAGGAATAAAAGAAATTTTAGACCAATTTGTTATAAAGCTTCAATCTGTTGCTTCAGTGAAAACTGATTTTTAATGCCTAACAAATATAAACCTAGTTTAAATAAAAAAATTGTAATGAATAAATACCTACATGTGACAAATCCTAATGTGCTATCTACAATGAAACCATCTTCATTGTCGAAGAGTAACGTATTTAGGCTGTACCTGTAACAAAAACAAAAATTGTAAATTAGTATCAGCTTTAAATAGGGAATATTTGCTGTTGCAATTAATTCAAAAATTAATGATATGCATGTTTTATGTCAAATTCTAAATTGGAGACTAAACTTGAGAATGGATATGGGGAATATGTCAAAGAGACAACAACCCGACTGTTAAAAGGATAATTTTAGTATTATTTGTGTAAAAGACATTACAAGAACTTTAACTGTGACACCTGTTAACCGTTAAATAGTTATATTTTCTTAGCATCTGAATGAACTCTATAGAACTGTCACAATTAATTAGTGCTATTTATCTATGGCCATAAAGTCGCCACTGAAGAACACTTAAAGTTTCTGGTTATTTTAATATGTTTAACATTCAAAGATAAAGACAGGTTTAAAGTATATTCTGATCAGTTTTAAGGTTGTTGCTCGATGTGAAAAGTTGGTTACATGTTTGCAATATATAAATATTGTATATGAACTCGATGTTGTCTTTTTAAGTAATATTGAGGTGTAACATAAATGGTGGCAGCGGAAAAGGATTAATTAATTTAAGATATTAATTATTCTGTAGTGGATTATAAGCGTAATTTTCCTAAAGGATATAGGTGCTACCGTAGGATTATTGCTTATGTAGCTGATGTGATTTATCAGTGATTTTTTGCAATTGGATAAAATATTGCGTGCCGTTAAACTGGCGTATATCCAGCTGTGTGATTCAGCGATTAATTGGATATGATAATTTTATTTAGTTACTTAGGATATATGTGATTCCGTATTTTTGGAATATATCCGGCTGTTGATTCAGCGTTGACCTTGAATTATCGAGCGTATATTTTCAAGCCTTAAACTCACTTTCGTTATATTTTCGTTAATCATAGGATTAATTGTATTTAGCGTTACGATCCGTAATGGCAGAAGGAGGTGTACTGGAAGGAGGCAGCATATCAAAAAATCGTCCAAGAAGGAATATGAATTTAATGCAATTTACAGATGCCGAATATGCAGATGAAAGCGACGTGCCAGTTGAGGAAGAAGTATTTCAAAGACCGAAAACTCCGCCGCCGAAAAAAGCAACAAGAAAGACAAATAAACACGAGTTAGACATCGAAAGGGAAAAACTTGCCATCGAACGTGAAAAACTCGAAATCGAAAAAGAGAAATTAGAAATCGAAAGAGAAAGAATTCGTTTACAGGGGGAAAACCGTCCTAATACTGACAAGTATCAGTCACTAACATTCAAAGTAAAATTGCAACCGTTTGATCCGAAACTCGACGACATCTTAACATTTATATCGGAATTCGATGCAGTAAGTGGTCAGGCAAATTGGTCTAATGACATTAAGATTTTACAGTTAAGAACATTGTTGACAGGTGAAGCAAGACATGTTTCTTCACAAGCGTCCACTTCGTATGATGATCTAAGACGTGCGCTAATCGATCGATATGGAAAGAGACCCCATGAATATTTTGTTGACTTAGTTAATGTTAGAAAAGCTGACAATGAAACTTACAGAGCTTTGATGGCGCGAATTATACAAAATCTCAACCGATGTATCGAAGACAAAGATCCGATCAAGTGTTTACAAGAGGAATTTTTTCTGAAGGCTCTATCACCAGTTCAAGCGCAATGGGTAAGAAGAAATAAAGGCAGCGCGTCCGTAGTTGAGGCAGCAGAGGACTATATAGTACCGACAAAAAGTGACAATCAGAAGAAATTTAATGGGTATAATAACAACAACAAAAATGACAATGTACAAAATGATGAAAATAGGACAAAAACTAACAATAACCGTTGTTTCAAATGTCAAGCTATTGGACATTATGCACGTGATTGTGGGAAAAAGGACAAGAAAACAGGAAATCCTGCATCTTACTTAGTTAAACCGCTTGTTGGACAAAGACTTATTTGTGTTCCAGGAGAAGTAAACGGGAAACAAGTAAGCTTTGTGAAAGACACTGGTGCTGACATGACATTAATACGTGAATATCTTGTGGATAGTAAGAACATTTTACAAGGACAAAATATAACTCTACAAACTGCAATTGGACAACCGTTTTGTGCTAAGCTTGCTGTAGTTGACATAGACACACCGTATTATAGAGGTATTGCTCAAGTTGGACTCGTACCGGAATTGGCCGCCGAAGCACTTTTGGGAATGGATATACTAGAGCGAACTAGTAACGCATTTGTTGTAACCAGAGCACAAACTAAGCGTGCCGAAGATGAGATCGAATCCGACGATGATATATCCGAAAGAGAAGTTGAACATACCGTGGAAGTGAAGAAAATGAGCGAAAATGAGGAGATAACTACTGGTAACATTTCGTCTGTAAATATTGAACATATTACGAAACTTCAACAAGAAGACGAATCTCTGATTAATATTCGAGGAAAGACAGCTCATCATAGCGATGAACCAAACGCGTTCTACTACGAAAATAATGTTTTAATGCGTAGGTGGAAGACAAAAGATGGTAGAAAACAAGGAACTCAAGTTGTACTTCCATCTCGATTAAGAAATGCCGTTATCAAGATTGCACATGATCAACCAATGGCCGGACACCTAGGAATTGAGAAAACTAAAGACCGAATCTTAGCATCTTTTTATTGGCCCGGAATATTCAGAGATATTACCGAGTATTGTACACAGTGTGATGTATGTCAGAAAACCGCGAAACGACGTAGTAGTGAGAAGAACCCGATGATTTCACCACCCGTAGTATAAGAGCCTTTTCGTAAAATATCAATGGATATCATAGGACCGTTGGAACGAACGAAAAAGGGAAACAAGTATGTTCTTACTGTCGTAGACGAAGCAACGAGATATCCGGAAGCTTTTCCGTTAAAGAAAACTGAAGCAAAGACTATTGCTGACGCTTTGATACTTATGTTCAGTCGTGTAGGAATACCCCAGACTATTTTAACAGATCAGGGTTCTAATTTTAAGAGTCAATTGCTAGCTGATTTGTTAGGAGCCCGAGGATGTACAACGTCTCCATACAGACCGCAGTCGAATGGGAGATGCGAGCGTTTTAATGGTACTTTGAAGTCCATGCTCAAGAAGTTGTGCACGGAATCTGCCGAGGAATGGGATGAATTGGTTCCTTATGCGTTATTCGCGTATCGTGAAGTTCCGCATGAAGAAACAGGCTTTTCGCCGTTTGAGTTGTTGTATGGTTGGCCTGTGAGAGGTCCGATGGCCATACTTCGTGGATTATTTACCGGAGAGGATGAGATACACCGTTCAGTTATTGAACATGTTATTACTATACGTGATCGTTTGGCAGATGTGTCAGAAATTGTAAAAGAAAATTTGTCACATCGTAAAGAAAAGATCAAGGCTTGGTACGACAAGCGTGCGAGGTTCAGAGAATTTGAACCCAGGGACAAAGTGCTATTATTGTTACCGTCCGAGGCATCAAAGATGAAAGCTATGTGGAAAGGACCGTTCCGTGTTTTACGAAGATTAAATGATGTTAACTATCAGATCAATGTTGGAGGAAGACGAGGTATCGTAACCTATCACGTAAATTTGTTAAGAAAATACAATCGTTCCGTACTATATACTTCTATAGTATCCGACAGCAACACTGACTATTTATTTGATATTTGTATGGAACGTGAAGCAATCAATAGTATAAAATTAGATTCAAACTTAGACATGGAAAAGCGCAACAATATTCGCGATTTATGTACAGAATTTGAAGATGTTGTAAATTCGGAACCAGGACTCACTGACATAATAACTCATGATGTTCGAACAACAAGTGAAAGTCCTATCACACTAAAGCCGTACCGTATTCCACATGCTATTCGTGCCGATGTGAAACTTGCAATAGATGAAATGCTAGAGCTAGGCGTTATTGAACCTTCAATAATTCCGTGGAGTGCACCGATAGTTCTTATCAGGAAAAATGATGGAACTCTGAGGATATGTGTTGATTACAGAAAAATCAACCAGATAACAATTTTTGACGCGTATCCGACTCCAAGAATGGATGAACTTTTCGAAAATTTGGGAGAAGCTAAGTTTATATCGCGACTTGACATGACAAAAGGGTATTTTCAGGTTCCTTTGGCCGAAAACACGCGTGAGAAGTCCGCATTTGTGACGCCATTTGGACAGTACCAGTTTCGTGTTATGCCCTTTGGCATGAAGACAAGTGCCGCAACATTTATTCGTATGGTGGATATATTACTAGCCCCGTTGAACAATGTAGTTGCTTACTTCGATGATATACTTGTATACAGTAATTCGTGGGAAGAACACTTATGTCATTTAAGAAAACTGTTTGTGCGTTTGCGCGAAAAAGGATTGACCGTTAGACCGTCAAAGTGTGACTTTGGTGCATAAACAATAAAATGTTTAGGACATATTGTTGGAAATGGACAAATAACTACAGACAGATCTAAAGTGAAAGCCATGTTAGAATTTCCACTTCCTACAGATAAGAAAGGAATAAGATCTTTCCTTGGAATGATTGGTTACTACCGTAAATTCATTAAACACTTTGCCGAAATTACCGCTCCGTTAACCGATATGACTAAAAAATCAAAACCGAATAAGTTAGCATGGACTGAAATAGGCGTGAAATCGTTCAAGGAATTGAAACGTGCCCTTACAGAAGCGCCCGTACTTGCTACTCCAGATTTTAGCAAAACATTTATTTTGCAAACCGATGCAAGTGATGCAGCATTAGGTGCTGTATTGAGTCAGAATATTGATGGAAATGAACATCCGATTTCGTATATTAGCAGAAAACTATTACCGAGAGAACAACATTACGCGACGATTGAAAAGGAATGTTTGGCAATCATTTGGGCTATCGAATCGTACCGATATTACTTGTTCAATGTAAGATTTACCGTCGAAACAGACCATAATCTATTAGTCTGGTTGAACCAAGTGAAGACAAAAAGTCAAAGGCTATTGCGATGGTCACTTGCTCTCCAACCGTATGATTTCGTTATCTGTTATCGTAGAGGATCAAAGAACAATGCCGATGCTTTATCAAGAATTTAACAAAGATTGACTGTAAGCGTTATGCTTTATTGTTTTTGTTACAGCTATGTAAATTGGAGCAACGCCTTTTATTTCATTTTAAAGTTAATTTTCGAAAACAGTGTTTTCTCTTGAAAAGGGAGATGTTAAAAGGCTAATTTTAATATTATTTGTGTAAAAGACATTACAAGAACTTTAACTGTGACACCTGTTAACCGTTAAATAGTTATATTTTCTTAGCATCTGAATGAACTCTATAGAACTGTCAAAATTAATTAGTGCTATTTATCTATGGCCATAAAGTCGCCACTGAAGAACACTTAAAGTTTCTGGTTATTTTAATATGTTTAACATTCAAAGATAAAGACAGGTTTAAAGTATATTCTGGTCAGTTTTAAGGTTGTTGCTCGATGTGAAAAGTTGGTTACGTGTTTCCAATATATAAATATTGTATATGAACTCGATGTTGTCTTTTTAAGTAATATTGAGGTGTAACACCGACCAAAGAGCAGATAACAGCCGAAGTATATTTACAATTACTTAACTTATTACAGTAAATATTTGAATAAAAGAAATGGTAGACAAATTTGCAATAAAATTTCAAACTGTTGTTCTAGGGTAAAACTGATTTTTGTTGGTAGTTATCAAAGGTACCAGGCTTATAATTTGATACGCCAGACGGGCATTTCGTCTACATAAGACTCATCAGTGACGCTCAGATCAAAATAGTTAGAAAACCAAACAAGTATAAAGTTGGAAGAGCATTGAAGACCCTAACACATATAAAAAGAATTAAAAGTACAATTATAATGACCAAATACCTACATGATACGAATCTCTGTGTGCTATATACCATGAAAGCATCTTCATTGTCTAGGAGTGTAACATATTTAGTCTATCTGCAACAAAAACAAAAATTCTAAATCAGTATCAGCTTTAAATAGAGAATATTGGTTGTTCCAATTAATTTAAAATTAATATGATGCATTTTTTATGACAAATCAGAATTTGAAGACAAGTATATAAACAATTTCTATACATCATCATTAAAATAATCTTCATACGAGTATAAATTTGAATAAAAGAAATTTTAAACCACTTTGTAATCAAATCTAAATTAAGCTGTTGTTACAGGGAAAACTGATTTTTGTTACCTGCAAACCATATAAACATAGTTTAAAGTACAATTAAAAATACCAAATACCTACATGCTACGTATCCAGATGTTTGATCAATCTACCATGAAACCATCTTCATTGTCTAGAAGTGTAACATACTTACATGTAGGCTGTATCTGTAAAAAAACCAAATCATCAATTAGTATCAGCTTCAAATAGAGACTATTGGCTGTTGCAATCAATTATAAAATAAATGTCACTCATATTTTATGTCAAATCCTAAATTGGACACAAGTATATTTACAATTAAAGGTCTTTCCACATCAATTTTCTAAATAATTGATAAGAAGCTACTTCTGGTTTACTCAAAGCTACTTTTGGTGTCCAATCATAGGTTTCTTCATACTGATTCAATAAATATATGGTTTCTATAGACTTTAGCCTGAAATAAGGGAGATAATTGTCAACTTCCGGTTTAGAAAATGTAACTTCCGGTTTCATTCGATAGATTTATTCACACTATTCCCAAAATATATAGTTTGTATATACTTATGCATGTAATAAGGGAGATAATAGGCTACTTCCGGTTTATCACTTCCAGTCTCAAATGAAGGTTAATGTATGACCATTCAAAAAATATATGGTTTCTATGTATTTTTACATAAAATAAGTGCAAAAATGACTACTTCCGGTTCACTCAAGGTCACTTCCGGTTGATATTTTTCAAGGTCACATGTCACAACATTTTCTCAAAGACCTTATTGCTTTATCATGTACCAATCTGAAGTAATAATCAATTTACCTTAAAATTAAACATTTCAGGGGCAATAACTCCTATAAGATGTCACTGGATTGTTTCAGGCCAAATGTATCATCTCTTCATTACAATAAAACAAACATTTTGCACTAGTTCTTTTATATATAACGTTAAAAATATCAGAGAAAATGCAAAAACAAGCAAAAGACAAAATTGAGAACATGACCTTGACCTCATTTTCTAAGTTAGGCCCCAAGGACCTCAAATATATAGACTATAGGTTTATACGGCTTACTGTTAATGAGTTACAAAAACATAACGACAAATTTAATTGATAAAGGTAGATAACTCCTATAAAATTTCACCGGATCGCTTCAATCCAAATCAGCCAAAAATTTCTGAGGATGTAGCGAACAAATATGAAAAGAATTTTGTTGTTATCTTTTTTGGTTACGGAGGAGATACACTCACAAGAAAAACAGTGTTTGGGGAGATAACTCTTACAATAAAAAAGTCTTCACCTTAAAGAGATAAGTTTAAAAAGCGCAATAACTGTTCGATATCATATTCATAATATCTAAGCGACATCTTGCGTAACAACTTTATACCGCAAGAAACGGGTTTGTCAGAAGAAGAAAAATAAAATAATATCCAGAACAAATACAATAGGTCTTTCTGTGACCTAATAACTACGCATTCATGTTAAAATTTACTTCACTAGATTATAAATTTGAACAAAAGAAATATGTAAACTAAATTGAAATAAAAATTTTATTTAAGCTGTTGTTCCAGGGAAAAACTGATATTTATTACCCAACACATATAAACATAGTCTAAAGTACAATTGTAATGACTAAATACCTACATGTTAAACATCCTAATGTGCCATCTACCATGAAACCATCTGCAATGTATGGGAGTGGAACATATCTGGGCTGTATCTGTTACAAAAGAAAAAAAATTAAATTAGCATCAGCTTTAGAGAATATTTAAAGGCTGTTCAAAAAAATTAAAAACTTAATGTGATTCATGTTTCATGTCAAATCTTAAATTACGGACAATTAATTTACAATGATTCTTTCATTCTTATTAAAATATACCACATTTGAAATTCGAATAAAAGATATTTTAGACCAATTTGTAATAAAATTTTAAGCTATTGTTTCAGTGAAAACACATTTTTATTGACTTCCAAATATTAACATAGTTTTAAGTACAATTGTAATGACCAAATACTTACATGTTGACTCTTCCTATCTGCCATGAATCCATCTTCTCTGTCTAGGAGTGCAACATATTTCGGCTGTATCTTTAACAAAAACTATAACTTAATATCAGCTTTAAATAGAGACTATTTGCTGTTGCAATTTTTTCAGAATTTAATCTTTTGCATGTTGGACAAGAATATTTATAATTACAATACATTCCAATAAGAATATATTTCATTAGAGTATAAATTTGAAGAAAATTTTTTTGAGACCAATTTGTAATAAATTTTCAAATTGGTTGATAATGAAATACAGCCAGACAAAAAACTAAATACATTTTACCATAAACACAAGATTTCATCATACTATGTAATCAGCTCTGCTGGGGGATCTGCTTTTACGAGATTAGCGCCCATTAAATTCATCAATGTGATATCAAAATCTAAAGTTTGCTCTCTGCAGAGGTCTGCTTTTACGAGACCCATTTTAACATAAAGCATCTTTTTGTCAAATTGTTCAGGAAAAAAAGGATTTTTATTACCGAACACTCAAAAACATAGTTTTAAGAAAAATTGTAATGACCAAATACCTACATGAGCAAAATCCTAATGAGCTATCTACAATGAAAGCATCTTTCATGGTATAGGAGTGTCACATATTTAGGCTGTATAATCTGTAGCAAAAACAAAAATTATGAATTAGTTCCCGCTTTAAACCCAGACTTTTTGTTGTTGCAATCAATTCAGAAAATAATGTGATGCATGTTTTATGTTAAATCCCAAATCAGAGAAAAGTAAATTGTTGATGATTTGGTTTTGTTACAGATACAGCCTAAATATGTTACAATTATAATTACAATTACTATACATTCTTATTAAAATATTCAGCATTAGAGTATAAATTTGAATGAAAGAAATTTTAGACCAATTTGTTATAAAGTATTCAATCTGTTGTTTCAGGAAAAAACAGATTTTTATTACCTAACAAATATAAATATAGTTTTAAGGAAAATTGTAATGACCAAATACCTACATGTGACTTATCCTAATGTGCATCTGCAATGGAAGCATCTTTCATGGTATAGGAGTCTTACATATTTAGGCTGTATCTGTAATGAAAACAAAAAAATATACATTAATTTCAGCTTTTAATCCAGATTTTTTGCTGTTGCAATCAATTCAGAAATTAATGTGATGCATGTTTATGTCAAATCCTAAATTGGAGACAAGAATTTTTACAATCACCATACATTCTTATTAAAATATATCTCATTACAGTGAATATTTCAATAAATGAAATGTAGGACCAATTTGTAATAAAATTTCATGCTGTTGTTCAAGGAAAAACTGATTTTTATTACATAACAAATAGAAACATTGTTTTAAGAACAATTGTTATGAATAAATACCTACATGTGACTTATCCTAATGTGCTATCTGCAATGGAAGCATCTTTCATGGTATAGGAGTCTTACATATTTAGGCTGTATCTGTAACAAAAACAAATATTTTAAATTAGTTTCAGCTTCAAAATCAAAGCTATTTGCTGTTGCAATCAATTCAGAAATTAATGTGATGCAGGTTTTATGTCAAAGCCTAAATTGGAGACGTATATTTACAATAACTATACATTCTTATTAAAATATACTTCATTAGGATATAAATAGGAATAAAAGAAATTTTACACCAATTTGTTATAAGGCTTCAATCTGTTGCTTCAGTGAAAACTGATTTTTAATGCCTAACAAATATAAATATAGTTTTAAGGAAAATTGTAATGACCAAATACCTACATGTGACTTATCCTAATGTGCATCTGCAAGGGAAGCATCTTTCATGGTATAGGAGTCTTACATATTTAGGCTGTATCTGTAATGAAAACAAAAAAATATACATTAATTTCAGCTTTTAATCCAGATTTTTTGCTGTTGCAATCAATTCAGAAATTAATGTGATGCATGTTTATGTCAAATCCTAAATTGGAGACAAGAATTTTTACAATCACCATACATTCTTATTAAAATATATCTCATTACAGTGAATATTTCAATAAATGAAATGTAGGACCAATTTGTAATAAAATTTCATGCTGTTGTTCAAGGAAAAACTGATTTTTATTACCTAACAAATAGAAAAAAGTAAAATCACAAAAATACTGAACTCCGAGGAAAATTCAATCGGAAAGTCCCTAATCACATGGCAAAATCAAATGACAAAACACATCAAACGAATGGACAACAACTGTCATATTCCTGACTTGGTACAGGCATTTTCAACATAGTTTTAAGAACAATTGTTATGAATAAATACCTACATGTGACTTATCCTAATGTGCTATCTGCAATGGAAGCATCTTTCATGGTATAGGAGTCTTACATATTTAGGCTGTATCTGTAACAAAAACAAATATTTTAAATTAGTTTCAGCTTCAAAATCAAAGCTATTTGCTGTTGCAATCAATTCAGAAATTAATGTGATGCAGGTTTTATGTCAAATCCTAAATTGGAGACGTATATTTACAATAACTATACATTCTTATTAAAATATACTTCATTAGGATATAAATAGGAATAAAAGAAATTTTACACCAATTTGTTATAAAGCTTCAATCTGTTGCTTCAGTGAAAACTGATTTTTAATGCCTAACAAATATAAACCTAGTTTAAATAAAAAAATTGTAATGAATAAATACCTACATGTGACAAATCCTAATGTGCTATCTACAATGAAACCATCTTCATTGTCGAAGAGTAACGTATTTAGGCTGTACCTGTAACAAAAACAAAAATTGTAAATTAGTATCAGCTTTAAATAGGGAATATTTGCTGTTGCAATTAATTCAAAAATTAATGTGATGCATGTTTTATGTCAAATTCTAAATTGGAGACTAAAATTGAGAATGGAAATGGGGAATATGTCAAAGAGACAACAACCCGACCAAAGAGCAGATAACAGCCGAAGTATATTTACAATTACTTAACTTATTACAGTAAATATTTGAATAAAAGAAATGTTAGACAAATTTGCAATAAAATTTTAAACTGTTGTTCAATGGGTAAACTGATTTTGTTGGTAGTTATCAAAGGTACCAGGCTTATAATTTGATACGCCAGACGGGCGTTTCGTCTACATAAGACTCATCAGTGACGCTCAGATCAAAATAGTTAGAAAGCCAAACAAGTATAAAGTTGGAAGAGCATTGAAGACCCTAACACATATAAAAGAGTTAAAAGTACAATTATAATGACCAAATACCTACATGATACGAATCTCTGTGTGCTATATACCATGAAAGCATCTTCATTGTCTAGGAGTGTAACATATTTAGTCTATCTGTAACAAAAACAAAAATTCTAAATCAGTATCAGCTTTAAATAGAGAATATTGGTTGTTGCAATTAATTTAAAATTAATATGATGCATTTTTTATGACAAATCATAATTTAAAGACAAGTATATAAACAATTTCTATACATCATCATTAAAATAATCTTCATACGAGTATAAATTTGAATAAAAGAAATTTTAAACCACTTTGTAATCAAATCTAAATTAAGCTGTTGTTCCAGGGAAAACTGATTTTTGTTACCTGCAAACCATATAAACATAGTTTAAAGTACAATTAAAAATACTAAATACCTACATGCTACGTATCCAAATGTTTGATCAATCTACCATGAAACCATCTTCCTTGTCTAGAAGTGTAACATATTTACATGTAGGCTGTATCTGTAAAAAAAACAAATCACTAATTAGTATCAGCTTCAAATAGAGACTATTGGCTGTTGCAATCAATTATAAAATAAATGTCACTCATATTTTATGTCAAATCCTAAATTGGACACAAGTATATTTACAATTAAAAACCAATTGTTCCAATTGTTCAAAGAACAATTGAAGGTCTTTCCACATCAATTTTCTAAATAATTGATAAGAAGCTACTTCTGGTTTACTCAAAGCTACTATTGGTGTCCAATCATAGGTTTCTTCATACTGATTCAATAAATATATGGTTTCTATAGACTTTAGCCTGAAATAAGGGAGATAATTGTCAACTTCCGGTTTAGAAAATGTAACTTCCGGTTTCATTCGATAGATTTATTCACACTATTCCCAAAATATATAGTTTGTATATACTTATGCATGTAATAAGGGAGATAATATGCTACTTCCGGTTTATAAAATGTCACTTCCAGTCTGAAATGATAGGTTAATGTATGACCATTCAAAAAATATATGGTTTCTATGTATTTTTACATAAAATAAGTGCAAAAATGACTACTTCCGGTTCACTCAAGGTCACTTCCGGTTGATATTTTTCAAGGTCACATGTCACAACATTTTCTAAAAGACCTTATTGCTTTATCATGTACCAATCTGAAGTAATAATCAATTTACCTTAAAATTAAACATTTCAGGGGCAATAACTCCTATAAGATGTCACTGGATTGTTTCAGGCCAAATGTATCCTATCTTCATCACAATAAAACAAACATTTTGCACTAGTTCTTTTATATATAACGTTAAAAATATCAGAGAAAATGCAAAAACAAGCAAAAGACAAAATTGAGAACATGACCTTGACCTCATTTCCTAAGTTAGGCCCCAAGGACCTCAAATAAAAAGACTATAGGTTTATACGGCTTACGGTTTATGAGTCACAAAAAAATAACGACAAATTTAATTGATAAAGGTAGATAACTCCTATAAAATTTCACCGGATCGCTTCAATCCAAATCAGCCAAAAATTTCTGAGGATGTAGCGAACAAATATGAAAAGAATTTTGTCGTTATCTTTTTTGGTTACGGAGGAGATACACTCACAAGAAAAACAGTGTTTGGGGAGATAACTCTAACAATAAAAAAGTCTATGCCTTAAAGAGATAAGTTTAAAAAGCGCAATAACTGTTCGATATCATATTCAAAATATCTAAGCGACATCTTGCGTAACAACATTATACCGTAAGAAAAGGGTTTGGCTGAAGAAGAAAAAAAAATAATATTAATCAGAATAAATACAATAGGTCTTTCTGTGACCTAATAACTACGCATTCATGTTAAAATTTACTTCACTAGATTATAAATTTGAACAAAAGAAATATGTAAACTAAATTGAAATAAAATTTTATTTAAGCTGTTGTTCCAGGGAAAACTGATATTTATTACCCAACACATATAAACATAGTCTAAAGTACAATTGTAATGACTAAATACCTACATGTTAAACATCCTAATGTGCCATCTACCATGAAACCATCTTCAATGTATGGGAGTGGAACATATCTGGGCTGTATCTGTTACAAAAGAAAAAAAATTAAATTAGCATCAGCTTTAGAGAATATTTAATGGCTGTTGAAAAAATTAAAAAATTAATGTGATTCATGTTTCATGTCAAATCTTAAATTACGGACAATTAATTTACAATTATTCTTTCATTCTTATTAAAATATACCACATTTGAAATTCGAATAAAAGATATTTTAGACCAATTTGTAATAAAATTTTAAGCTATTGTTTCAGTGAAAACACATTTTTATTGACTTCCAAATATTAACATAGTTTTAAGTACAATTGTAATGACCAAATACTTACATGTTGACTCTTCCTATCTGCCATGAATCCATCTTCTCTGTCTAGGAGTGCAACATATTTCGGCTGTATCTTTAACAAAAACTATAACTTAATATCAGCTTTAAATAGAGACTATTTGCTGTTGCAATTTTTTTCAGAATTTAATCTTTTGTATGTTGGACAAGAATATTTATAATTACAATACATTCCAATAAGAATATATTTCATTAGAGTATAAATTTGAAGAAAATTTTTTTGAGACCAATTTGTAATAAAGTTTCAAATTGGTTGACAATGAAATACAGCCAAACAAAAAACTCACATACCAAAAATCAGCATAATATCTGAAGGCATTAAGAAAACAAGAGGCTCTCAAGAGCCTGAATTGCTCACCTGTAATTTTTGCCTTAAATCTTTCATCAATGATTATTTTTGCTTTTCAATATATATTAATGAGTGGATTAGAAATGCCATTTAAATGTTCCTAGCATCTTAAAAGCCAAAAAAATCATTTCACCCCTATGTTCCATTTTAGCCATAGTGGCTATGTTTCTTGATGTACAAGAAAATAAAATATAAAATTTATACTAGATACTCTGAAACTCATTCAGCCCAAGTTTGTCTGAAATTGATTCAGCAGTTTCAAATGAGAAGATTTTTTAAAAGTAAGCTAACAAGATGAACAAATTGTGAAAAATTGTCTTTAAAGGGCAATAACTCCTTAAGAGGACAATTGACAATTTCTGTCTTACAAACTTATTTGTAGATCTTACTTCAATGAACATTTTTGCTGTTTACAGTTTATCTTTATCTATAATAATATTCAAGATAACCGAAAACTGCAAAATTTCCTTAAAATCATCAATTCAGGGGCAATAACCTAAAAATCAGATACCCGATTTGGCAGATAATTTCATAAAAGGTAGACCTTGATCTAATGAATACTTTAACGTCTTGTCTGATTTGCTCTAAATGCTTTAGATTTTGAGATATCAGTAAAAAACTGCATTTTACCCTATGTTCTATTTTTAGCCATGGCGTCCATGTTTTCTGAGGAAACTGAAAATAAATTTTTAGCCATGTCAGCCCTGTTTTCTGAGAAAACTGAAAATAAAACACAAGCTTTATTCTAGATAACCTAAGAATCATTCAGCTATAGTTTGGTTTAATTTGTAAGTAGTTTCAGAGGAGAAGATTTTTCAAAGTTAGAAAACATGATGAAACAAATTGTGTAAAATTGTCCTTAAGGGGCAATAACTCCTTAAGTCAAACTTATTTGTACATCTTACTTTGCTGAACATTTTTGCTGTTTATAGTTTATCTTTATCTAATTAATAGTATTCAAGATAATAGCCAATAAACTGTTAACACAGAGATATGTCTCACCTTTTTGTACTTTTGATAATGCAAATGTTGAAATCAAAATAACAATACTTTAACATGTAAGTTATGCAAATATTCAAAGTCAATGAACCATGACTGAAGGTACATGACAAAACAATCTCCATGGAAATGAGATGTACCAATGCTAATACAACTGCATACCAAATACCATATAGACTTGTCACAAGTTGTTCCCTTTCAACAAACCTAAACACAAACATTGACTTGTAAACTATGTAAAAGTTTCAAAGTCAATGAACCATGATGAGGGGGTGGGGCTATATAATCTCCATGGAAACAAGACTTGCAAATGCTAATAGATTTCCATACCAAATGTCATTGACTTAACATTAGCGGTTCATCTTAAACTGATCTAATCACAAACTAATACAGGTAAACTAAGCAAAAGTTTCAAAGTCAATAGACCATGACTGAGGGGGCAGGGCCAAATATTCTCCATGGTAATGAGATGTGCTAATGCTTATACAATTGCATACCAATTAACATTGGCCTACCACTAATGGTTCCACTTGAACTGACCTAATCACAAACTAATCCATGTAAACTAGGCAAAAAATTCAAAGTCAATAGACCATGACTGAGGGGGCAGAGCCAAATAATCTCCATGGAAATGAGATATGCCAATGCTTATACAACTGCATTCCAAATATCATTGACTTACCACTAGTGGTTCCCCATAAACTGACCTAATCACAAACTAATACATGTAAACTAAGCAAAAGTTTCAAAGTCAATAGACCATGACCTCATGAAGGGGGCAGGGCCAAATAATCTCCATGGAAATGAGATGTGCCAGTGCTAATACAACTGCATACCAAATGTCATTGACCAACCACTTGTGGTTCACCTTAAACTAGACCTAATCACAAACTAATACATTGTTGACGCCACCGCCAGAAACAGCATACCTATGTCTCGCTTTTTGACTCCGTCAAGGTGAGGCCAAAACTGCAAAATTTCCTTAAAATTACCAATTTAGTGGCAGCAACCCATCAATGGGTTGTTAGATTCATCTGAAAATTTCAAGGCTGATAGAACTTGACCTAATGAACATGTTTACCCCATGTCAGATTTGCTCTAAATACTTTAATTTTTGAGATATAAGCCAAAAACTGCATTTTACCCCTATTTTCTATTTTTAGCCATGGTCGCATTGACGAAACAGAAAATAAACCACAAACTTTATTTTAGATACCCTAAGGATCCTTCAGCTTAACTTTAGTTGGAATTGGTTCAGTAGTTTCAGGAGATGTTCAAAATAGTCCACATCGTATGGGGGACGACAATGGACGACGACAGATGCCAAATGAAGGCAAAAGCCTTAGAAAGGTGAGCAAAAAATTGTGTATAATGGTTTGTTGCGGAATGATAGAATGATGGAATGACGGACAAGGGTAAAACTATATGACCCCAACAACTTTGTTGCAGGGCCATAAAAATGTTTTTAAATACTATACATGTCTGAACAACATGAATAGTCCCGCTCACATAAAAATTTTCAATGTCCAAAGCCCGTTATTTCAGCACAAATCAGTGGAGCAGAACCAAAATATGTCTGTATAACTTATTTTCAAAAAATATTATAAGTCCAAAGCATGTTGTTTCTGCAAATATCAGCAGAGCAGAAGTAAACATAAATTTGATCTGCAACTCATCATAAGCAGACTCACTGAAAATCAGCTCAATATGTGATAGTTAAGAAAAAAGTGTTTATACATGTTATTTTCACATAGTCCACTAAGCCCGTAATTTCAGCAAATATCAATGGAACTACATCAAACCTAACCTTGATCTGTTACTCTTTAAAGTAGACTCACATACTATAAATCAGCTCAAAATGAGAGAGTATTTAGAAACTAAACCTAGAACGACCTTTAAAAAAATTGGACAGGGAAGCATTCACCCAATATAAGTATGACGAAAGAGACAATATGATGATGGTTTATAGAAAAGTTAATTAAAAATTCGGAAAATGGAAAATATCAAGCAGAAATTATAACCTCCCTCCCCCCAAATTGCATCCTCCCATGGAAAAAAAATCAGGTCATCCCATTGTAGACTTAGGCTCCATGTTGAGTCTCGGGCTGTACTTTGACCTATAATGGTTTACAAATTGTGACTTGGATGGAGAGTTGTCACACTGGCACTCATACCACATCTTATATCTGTTTACAATAGTAACTGAAGACCCCTCATTAAAAAAAATAATTAGTTTTCAAATTGTGAAATTTTTATTTTTACAATCATCCTGTAGCCTTCTATAGTAAGCAACTATGTTCTTTTTTTAGCAAGGGTGGCCATGTTGGTTGGATGGCAGGGTCATCGGATACATTTTTCAATCAAGAAGTTAAAATCTGTTTGCCCCAGTAGATTAAGTGGAAAGGATTCTAGTAAAAGATTACAAAAATTTATGATTTTTTTTTTTAATTTATAAAAGGCAATAACTCCTTAAGGGGTCAATTGACAATTTTGGTAGTATGTTTGATAGATATAAGAAGATGTCACTGGTATGAGTGCCAATGAGACAACTCTCCATCCAAGTCAAAATTTATAAATGTAAACCATTATAGGTCAAAGTACAGTCTTCAACACAGAGCCTTGGCCCACACCGAACAGCAAGCTATAAAGGGCCCCAAAAATTACTAGTGTAAAACCATTCAAACGGGAAAACCAACTGTTTAATCTATATAAAAAACGAGAAACACTTATGAACCACATCAACAATCGACAACTACTGAACATCAGATTCCTGACTTAGGACAGGTGCAAACAACTGCAGCGGGTTTAAACGTTTTAATGGTACCAAACCTTCACCTTTATCTGAAACAGTAGTGTAACATCACAACATAGAAAGACACACTATTAAATATCAATTGAAATGGCTTAACTCAATCAAAAGACATTAACACCAGTGAGCATACACTGAACAAATAAATTTGACCATGGAAGTAAAATGAGAACGAATAACAACGATAAATTAGCATATATTAATGACCTGCAGACTGCAGAGCTCTGTACTAAAAAATTCATATGATTTTTTTTCCAATTATTGTCTCAGAGACAAGACCCCTTTGGTTACTATCTGTGATACCGCTGTTGTAAAATGGCATCTGGAATTTCTTATCAGTCACATGATTTTATCGAGTATGGTAATTATAAAGCACCTGTTGGAAATCCCTAGTTTGTTTATTACAAGGTGGAGCTGTATCATATAAAACTTCTACCTTCAGAAAGAAATCGAATGATGTAACAAACTTGAAAAACGGACGAGAATTGTTTAAACTACAACAGTTTAACATGGAAAATTGTATTAATTTTTGCATATTTTTGCTTTTTACTGTTTGTTTTAAACTGTTCTAAAAGTATTTTCCGATTGAAAGCGGAGCACGAGTAAAATAGGTAATAACGATGAAGCAATCAGGTTTCACATAATGTTTAACAAAATAATGTAGACAAATGTAGACAGAATATTTTACTGTTGAAATGTGCCAAGTTTATCGAGATTTATAAAAAGAATATTTACTTTCAAGTATTTTAGGTTTATGTATTTGTAATAAATGTCATTGATTATTTATTGAAACTGGACAATTAAAATCGGGATAATAAGTTCGTAAAACATGTTAAATTTATATCTATTTAAAAAAGTGTTAACAATTGAATACTAGTATTAATATAACATGTTACAGCAAAAAGAAAAACAACAAAACAAAATGAGCTTGTTGTCTCA